TTTTTCAGCAGGGTAATGATACCCATACTGTGCTGCACATTATTGGCAATATTGAGCTGAAGCTTGACTTTGCAAATTTAAAATCGCAAATCAAATCGCAATATCTGTAAAAAAAAAAATAGCAATTTGACATTTTCCCCCAAATTGCACAGCCCTAGTGTGCATGCATTTATGTGTGTGCATACGTGAGCGTATAATGTTGGATAATAATAATAATAAAATAAAAATAAAAAAAAATATATATATATATATATATATATATATATACTATAATATTTGTGTATGAGTGTGCATACATTTATGTGTGTGGCTGTGTGCATAAATACACACATGAGCGTGTAATGGCCAAATAATTAATAATAGAAAATAATTCCATTTATTCCTATAATTATTTACAGATAGAACACAGTGAGGCAGAGGTCGGATGCGGCAAGTACATCAACATGGTGCTGCTGGTGACCAAACAAGGGTCACTGTGAACCATCCAGCTGAAGATGCTGAACCTGGCGATCCTGAGTGGCATGAAATGAACTGGCAGCCAAAAAACCTTCCCTTCACTGAGAATCCTGGGCCTGTCGGCGATGCTGCTGCTCTTGAGTCAGAATAGCCTGTAGACTTTGAGTTGTTAATTTCTGATGTACTGATTCAGAACATTGTTGATCAGACCTACCTGTATGCAGATCAGTGTATTCAAGCTATGGATGATACTTCACAGCATGCTAGAAGTCATGCATTGAAGCCTGTTAAAGTTTCATAAATGAAAACCTTCCTGGGGCACTTTTTTTCTCACTGGTATCATTCATAAGCCTGAACTTGATATGTACTGGTCTGCAGATGACATGTTAGCTACCCCCTACTTCAACAAGGTCATGCCTCGCAACAGGTTTGAAATCATATGGAGATTTCTTCACTTCAGTGAAATACAGTAAGGCCCAGTCTTGTATCACCATGTCCAAATTCTGCGAAATGTATCAGCCCAACTTAAACATTTGCATAGATGAGGGGATGCTTCTGTGGCATGGGCGCCTAGCTTTCAGGGTGTACAATCCCCAGAAACCTTTCAAATATGGAATAAAATCCTACATCTTGTGCGATTCCGAGACAGGATACTGTTTTTACATGAAGCCCTATTGTGGAGAAAGCGCTGCACTGGAAGACACAGTTGTCTCTTTTCTTGATCGCCAAGTAGGTCATGGCTACAGATTGTTTATGGATCTGTACCACTGTGTGAGCGCCTACTTGATATGAAAACCGATGTCTGTGGTACAATTAGGAAAAACCGGTGAACCACCGGTCAATCGAGATGTCAGAAATGCTGACCTTCAGATTGGGGAAACAATCATGCGTCACAACGAAAATCTGATGGTCTTGGTGTGGCGAGACAAGCAACCAGTGAAAATGGTTACAAAATTCCATCAGAACAACATGAAACGTGTTGAGGTATGGAAGAGAGGCCACCAAGAAAAAGTTGCAAAGCAAAAACCAGCATGCATTGTGGAATACAATAATGCAATGAATGGCATTGACAAACTAGACCAAAACATTGTGTACTACCCTTTTGTCAGGAATTCACACAAGTGGGCGAAGAAATTTGTCACGTATCTGTTTCAGATCAGTTTGTTCAACGCTTTTGTCATTTACAAAGTGAAAAACCCACAGGGTAAGTGTAACACTCTCCTCATTCATCCAGAGTGTTATAAAATCATGGACCAGCCAAGACTATGCTGGTGGTGGGGAATAAAATGATGACCATCCAACTGAAAACACTCCAAGAGCACCACACATCACTGACCCAAGAAACGTGCTGAATGACAGTTTTGCTGTTCATTAACTTGTTCCAATCCTGCCCACTCCCAAAAAGCAACACCCAACCAGAGGATGCAGAGTTTGTGTACTTGAGGAGACCACGTTCTGCTGCAAAAGTTGTGCCGTCACCTTGTATCCTGGAAAATGTTACTCTGTGTACCACTCAAAAGCAACTTACAGTGCCTAAAGTTATATTTATTTTACATTTATTTCAATTTTTTTTCTTTTTGAAGGAAATGACATCTGAATGTATTCTGCTTGAAAATGCACTCCTTTGATAAACATGCTTTTTTCCCCTCAGCTTTTTGTTTAGAATGTTGTTTGACAAAACCAACCTATGTTCAAGTGGTGATTTAAAAAAAAAAAAAATCATGCGTCACAACGAAAATCTGATGGTCTTGGTGTGGCGAGACAAGCAACCAGTGAAAATGGTTACAAAATTCCATCAGAACAACATGAAACGTGTTGAGGTATGGAAGAGAGGCCACCAAGAAAAAGTTGCAAAGCAAAAACCAGCATGCATTGTGGAATACAATAATGCAATGAATGGCATTGACAAACTAGACCAAAACATTGTGTACTACCCTTTTGTCAGGAATTCACACAAGTGTGCAAAGAAATTTGTCACGTATCTGTTTCAGATCAGTTTGTTCAACGCTTTTGTCATTTACAAAGTGAAAAATCCACAGGGTAAGTGTAACACTCTCCTCATTCATCCAGAGTGTTATAAAATCATGGACCAGCCAAGACTATGCTGGTGGTGGGGAATAAAATGATGACCATCCAACTGAAAACACTCCAAGAGCACCACACAACACTGACCCAAGAAACGTGCTGAATGACAGTTTTGCTGTTCATTAACTTGTTCCAATCCTGCCCACTCCCAAAAAGCAACACCCAACCAGAGGATGCAGAGTTTGTGTACTTGAGGAGACCACGTTCTGCTGCAAAAGTTGTGCCGTCACCTTGTATCCTGGAAAATGTTACTCTGTGTACCACTCAAAAGCAACTTACAGTGCCTAAAGTTATATTTATTTTACATTTATTTCAATTTTTTTTCTTTTTGAAGGAAATGACATCTGAATGTATTCTGCTTGAAAATGCACTCCTTTGATAAACATGCTTTTTTCCCCTCAGCTTTTTGTTTAGAATGTTGTTTGACAAAACCAACCTATGTTCAAGTGGTGATTTAAAAAAAAAAAAAAGCAAATGAAGGTAAAATAAAATGTTTTCTTTTGTTTAAAACCAGAGGCTTGGATCTTTATTTTGATATATAGTATGCTCATATATTCATAGAAGAAAAATATTCTGCCGGTGGCTGGCAACTTAAAAAAAAAAAACGCTGGCGAGAAAGAGTTAACTGTTTTCAGTATTGATAAGTTACTTGAGCACCAAATCAACATATTAGAATAATTTCTGAAGGATCATGTGACACTGAAGGCTGGAGTGATGGCTGCTGAAAATTCAGCCCTTTTAAAAATGAACAGGAGTAAAGTACATTTGAAATATATTAAAATAGAAAAGTTATTTTAAATTGTAATAATATTTGCCAGTATTAGTGTTTTTAAGGTATTTTTGATCAAATAAGCTATTTTACCAGCTTTGTAAATAAGTGACTTCTTTCAAAAACATTTTTAAAAGTGATCTTACCAACCCCAATTTAATGTTGACTTAAACGACACAAAACTCTTAATCTCGTAATAAATTAATGCTTTTCTTTGCAGTGCACTGGAGGGAAAACATGATGGCCAGTCCTCCCCTGAGCGCACAGGCCCTACTTCCCTGGAACAAGCCCCAAACCCATCTGTGACCAGTCAACGGGAGAAGAGAGTTGCTAGACCACCCAAAAAGAAGTTTCAAAAGGCGGGGCTTTACTCTGATGTGTACAAGACTGACGAGTAAGGATGAACACACTCATCAAGCCCGTCTTATCATCTAACTTTCATATACCAGGAAAATAAACTTAACTTCTCTCCATTTCCTCATCAGTCCTCGCAGTCAGCTGCTACAGCTGAAGAAGGAGAAGTTAGAATACACTCCAGGTGAACTTGAGTATGGCCTTTTTCCTGCCCCCATTAATGTTGGTGAGTTTTTCATTTAAACTCAGCTTGCCGTTGTGACCTAATAGTCTGCAGATTTTGACAAGCATCAGTTAATTTAGCACCATTTCTAATTGCAGTTTGGTTGACAGTTTGATTTAGGAATCATTTTTCGACATAACAGTTTTAAAGAGCTATTAGTTCAACAAGTAAGCTCGTGGACTTGCCAGTATACAGCTTTCATTGTCATTCCTAGCTAGTTTATTATGTATGGCCCCATGGGCAATCAGGCTGATTAGTTATGGTTTTTGAGTTATGAGGTGATTAGTTGATTCAATATTGGAATGGTGCAGCCTCAAGTGAAAGGACAAAGAGATTGAATTAATAACTGCAATTTGTCTTCTGTGTTTGTCCAGGGAAATACTTGAGACAGAAACGCATTGATTTCCAGCTGCCTTATGACATCCTGTGGCTTTGGAAACATGATCAGGTAGCTCCTTAAAACCAAATATTTCTCAAAGCTGACAGCTGCTTTTGTCATTTATATTTTTTGCTACAAAATCATTTTATTAATCAGTAATGTGGTCTTGGTTTCCAATAAACATCCTTAAAACAAGATACCTATCTACTTGTAGGATATGTAGTTTATAATCTTTATTATTTTATTATTCTTTATTATTAAGTTTTCAGCGAATGTATTTTTCATTAAGTTCATGTTTCTTTGCTCATTGGCAAATGTTTTTTCCCTTGCTGTAAGCATAAATCTAAAAAAATATAGTAAGGTTTATGCTTCTTTATGAAAAAAATAATTTGCCAAAGCGATAACTTAAATCAACGTAGTTCAGGATGTATTTTCTGAAAACAAGTTTTAATTTCTAAAACGATTTTTTGCAGTTTAATGCCTGATTCTCAGCAAAGATCGTTCTACTAAATGATTAATCTTTGTTCTTTGTAGCTCTACAAGAGACCTGATGTGCCTCTCTACAAGAAGATCAGATCCAGTAAGGAGATTTTCATTAGTTTTTATCACTACCCATAAGCTCTCAACAGCTCTGTAGAGCAGAACATACTTGTGTTTCCATAAATACACTGATTTGACAGGACTGAGAGTTGTTGATTCCTTCATTACTATCCTGCTCTCGTTTTTGCACACTTTGTGTTTTGCGTGCATATGTTTGCAGATGTTTAAGACTAATGCATTAATATTTTCCTTCTTAGATGTCTATGTGGATGTGAAGCCTCTTTCTGGCTATGAAGCCACTACCTGTAACTGCAGGCCACCTGAAGAACACTGCGAGAACGGCTGTCAGGATGACTGTCTAAACAGGTAAGAGGCTTACACCTTCTCTTCTGCTTGCTTATTAATGCAGTTGTAGTTCAAAAAGTGGATCCCATTGGTTTCTCTTCTCTGTCTGTCTCAGGATGATCTTCGCTGAGTGTTCTCCAAGTACATGTCCGTGTGGCGATCAGTGTGATAACCAGCGTATCCAGAGGCATGAGTGGGTGCAGTCCCTCGAACGCTTCCGGGCTGAAGGGAAGGGCTGGGGGATCCGCACCAAGCAGTCCCTACGTGCCAGCCAATTCATCATCGAGTATTTGGGAGAAGTGGTCAGCGAACAGGGGTTCAGGTTAGCCACATTTTGGCTTTAAACAAGAGGAGACACAGACTTCATTTAGTTAAAACGCACAACAGTTTGGTTAATTCCATTATGTGAAGCTCAAATGCTATGTATAAACCTTTTTGGGAATGTAATTTTTGTTTCTTCAGTTTTTATGTTATGTTGGTTATTTTATATATATATATATATATATATATATACAGGTGCATCTCAAATTAAAATGTTGTGGAAAAGTTCATTTATTTCAGTAATTCAACTCAAATTGTGAAACTTGTGTATTAAATCAATTCAATGCACACAGACTGAAGTAGTTTAAGTCTTTGGTTCTTTTAATTGTGATGATTTTGGCTCACATTTAACAAAAACCCACCAATTCACTATCTCAACAAATTAGAATACTTCATAAGACCAATAAAAAACAGCCAGCTTCTTTGGCAATGAATGTTTGTGGCTTACCCTCCTTGTGAAGGGTGTCAATGATTGTCTTCTGGACAACTGTCAGATCAGCAGTCTTCCCCATGATTGTGTAGCCTAGTGAACCAAACTGAGAGACCATTTTGAGGGCTCAGGAAACCTTTGCAGGTGTTTTGTGTTGATTAGCTGATTGGCATGTCACCATATACTAATTTGTTGAGATGAATGGGGTGGGTTTTTGTTAAATGTGAGCCAAAATCATCACAATTAAAAGAACCAAAGACTTAAACTACTTCAGCCTGTGTGCATTGAATTTATTTAATACACGAGTTTCACAATTTGAGTTGAATTACTGAAATAAATGAACTTTTCCACGACATTCAAATTTATTGAGATGCACCTGCGTGTGTGTGTATGTATGTGTGTGTGTATATATATATATATATATATATATATATATTCATTCTAACTAAGAATGTGAGGGTAGCGACCACAGTGCATTATTAAAGGTATAGTTCACTCAAAAATGAAAGTTTGCTGTTAATTTACTCGCCCTCAGGCCATCCCAGATGTAGCTGACTTTTTTTCTGGAGTAGAACAGTAAAGAAGATTTTTAGCTGAAACTGTGGCCCTTGGTGATTCATAAAATGCAAGTCAGCAGCTGCCCGTCTTTGAGAATTGAAAAAAAGCATATCATGGGACACAAAATTAATAGCTGTGGCTCTTGACGATATCAGGGGTTAAAGCAAAAAAAAAATCCTGAGCCTGAACTTTTTCCCGGGGGTTGCGGGGGCGGACACATACCCAGGGTTTTTTGGCAAACAACAAAAAAAAGAACATTATTTGAAAATGATTTTCCTTGAAACTATCTAGTAACGTATCTGCCAATGCCATTATCTGCCTTGACAGGCTCAGACTACAGATTATGGTGGGATATTTGAAACGGCAATACCAAGAAAGTTTACTCATTACAATATGGTGCAAACACATGTAACATTTAGGATGCTCTTGATATCAAGTTTTGCTGGTTAACGTTGTCCTTGACAGGGTACAAAATGACATTACATTTCTGAGATTTTGTTCAAAAGAAATAATGGTAAATTAAATACTAAGAAATTAATATAAAATAGGATATATACAAAGACAGTTTACTACAGAAAACTACAGTTCAGTTCAATTCACAACAACAAAAACATTAAAATGGTCCAAGAACTGGTAACTTAAACAGGGTTCGTACAGATACTGCAAAATAAAATTCCAGGACTTTCAAGGACTTGCACTACTTTTTTGGTTTTCAAGGACTAAAATCAGATCTCACTTATCAATCATTATTGTTATTATCTTTCAAATTCTAATAAATAAATAAATAAAATAAAACTAAATAGTACAAATAAAGTGTGGCACATGCAAAGAATGCAATGACTGTGGCAACTTTAACATTTGAAAGGATACTATGGCAAAGTTATCGCTTTCCTTATTCAAAATGATTTTTTTCATGAATATATGATTGACCTGAAGAATGAAAGCTATATCATACACTTGGAAAATTATGAGCTTTATCATGCTCATAGACACTAGGGGTGTGACAATACACTTAGCTCACAAGGTGAGACAAAATGCAGATACTTGATTCACTAGAACGAGACAATGTTTTAATACTTTAAGAAATTAAAGACAAAATATTTGTCTTTTAATCACAAAAAGTAAAACCATGCAGTTGTATTTTTTTTTATATACTTTATTTTTTGACAGATTTTGCTTTAGAACACACAAACCGAAAACGTAAACCAAAATATCTACCACAAGACACTCGGGTTCACAGAGAAAAAAGCAGAAAGAAAATTTAACAATTAACGACAACAGTTACATGAGGTCTTACAAGAAATCAAGAACCGCATAGTACAGATAGAAGTTGAGGTGCACTTTGGAAGTCTAGCTATTGCTTGTTCGCAGTATATAACAATCCCATTTCCTCCAATAATTTTCCCCTTTTTTTTCTGTAACCATAGGGAGAAGGTCATTTTTTCCATAGAACATATTTGACTGACAATATTTAGGAGAAGATCCATATCGGGTGGGCTTCTCTTAAGCCAACATTTAGTAACTGCTTTCTTGCATACAACTAAAAAAATCTTTAAGAGATCCCTAGAAACATAGTCGGAAATTACACATCTATGTTAAAGCCTATTACCCTTGATATTAATTGCCCTGCCCTTTCCCAAAAATACTGAATATGTGGACATAACCAAAAAATGTGGGCAGAGTCTGCTTGTACAGAACCACACTCCCTCCAGCAAGGGTGCTGTTTCCCAGAGAACTTAAATTTTTGCATAGGGGTTATAAAAAATCTGATCAAACATTTCCACCCAAAATCTCTCCAGATTAATGAATATGAGTTTTCCATGCAAGAAGCCATACGTCTTCTGATATTTCCTCCCTCGTGTCTTTCTCCCATCGCTGTCTGATATATTCCGTATAATTTTTATTCATTGAAGAGATAACACTATACAGTTTGCCTATGACCCCTTTGATATTTTTAAGTTATCCAAATCCCCGTTTGATATAATTTTACAGAGGACAGTAATACAATGAGATGCCTAAGTCTTATATCTGTGGTCATGCAAAGCTGGAGTAAAGTGTGGATCATAGGCCGGCTAGTTCAATACTTTTACCTCCCTTTGAAGCTTAAAACGTTTAACCACCTCCGTCCACAGCTTGACAGAGTGGCCCACACATTGATTCTGTATTAGATGTATATCATTTACTTGCTCTATGCATCCTAGAACCGATTGTATAGGAGTGTCCATCAAAGACAATTCTATATCCTTCCATTTTGCTATTTAGAAATATGTTGTTGTATTCTCCTGTGTTGGCATAGGTTTAAATGATTTACGTTACAAATCAAGTGAGTTTTCCCAGATGAACATTAAGCAACCCAAACTCACCGCATATGCAGAGGAGGAGTTCAGCCCCTTTTACACGTAGAGTAAATTATCGTTAAGAGATCATGTGTGAACAGGACCTTTTCAAAAATACAGGTAAATGCATTCTGGCAATCATATCGTTCTTATGGAGATGACATGATTACTCTGAGCTGTTTACAAAGCTCCGCTGCTTTTTCTAAGCAACCCAAACTCACCGCATATGCAGAGGAGGAGTTCAGCCCCTTTTACACATAGAGTAAATTATCGTTAAGAGATCATGTGTGAACAGGACCTTTTCAAAAATACAGGTAAATGCATTCTGGCAATCATATCGTTCTTATGGAGATGACATGATTACTCTGAGCTGTTTACAAAGCTCCGCTGCTTTTTTAATAGCTTTTCTATGTAAATATGTCGCTAGATGGAAATCTTTGACCATTGCGCCTCGCAGCTTTTTCAATGTGTCACGCTCGAGACCCAGACTTCTTTTCTATTCATCAGCTGTGACTCTGCAATTGGATACTATTATGCGCGTCTCGTGTTTATAAGAGCAAAAACTTCTGATTGGCTAGTAATGTTAGTTTGGTTGAGAGTGAAAGCTGTGTTCCTCTCATACATTGGTAGGCGAACTCATGAACTCGAACGTGATATCAACAAGTGTTTTTAAATGTAGGACAACTATCTTTTTTTTCCCGCAGCCACACACCGGAGATCCGGCATGGTGCCGGAAAACTTTAAGCCCTGCGATATATTGAGGTGTTATGAAGCAAAACAATTGGTCTGTGCAAGAAAATGATAATTATTTACAGCATTATTACCTGCAATCCATAGCCTCAGACAATGGGAAATCACATTCTTTTTTGTGAACTGGTTCTTTCGGACAGTTTGTTTTAATGAACTGGTTCAATTCACTAATTTGTTTATATAATCACGCAATGATGTAACGTATACCAAGGCTCAACAATAAGGACTGCCCGATGGCCCGGGGCCAGCATGAAAGACGTTCGGGACAGTAGACGGATTTGTCACTTGCCCGATCAGGCTACTGCAGCGTCGGCACGACATTTTATCATTTGCATGTGTTTTTAAGGCTTGTTAATTTAAAAATTCAAGCGATTTAAAAAGCATTTGGGTTCGATAGACAACTCCTTTCAGTACTTGCACAGACAGCTGCGTCTCTGACACGCGCGAGCCGCCTGAACGGGCAAATACATACAAAAGTATGTCAAAATACCCGTCCTGGCAAGTAACTTTGTAGCTTTAACAATGAACGGACACAAAGAGGAGAAAATACTGTAGCAGGCAGAACAAGATCACTGTTCACGATGCGAGAAATATAGGACGAAAATCCAAATATTGTATTTTATGAATGTGTTTCTGAGGGGAACGGAACTGACTGTTTTCAGAAATGGCATTTTCTTTTCATTTTGTCTCCGTATAATGCATTTAAATTAGTGTTAATACGCAGTGCTGCTATGTTTACAGTGGTAACCAAGGAAACGCTGTATCACTGTACCGTACCATAAGCGCCGCCTGCTTTCAGAGAGTGAATCTGCGTCTCATTCAGCCCACCTGCTGTTTCTGTTTCATACCGATGTTTTCTGTAGCATTATTTCACATAGCTAAAGTCAGGTTATTCTGTTTTTGCTTCAGATTTTGAAATTATACAGTCTAATATAAATCAAACATTGCACTTTTTTTTCAATTCATGATTAAAATGCAGTGGTTGGCTCTCATTTCAAATAGCTATGAAAAATCAAAGTGCAACACAGAATGAAGAATATGCAAATGGTATTTTATATGTGTTTTTTTTTCAATTTCTGTACCTGAACATCTACAAACATAAAAACCTAAAGCATTTAATTTCTATTTTTGTGCTATAATAATTGATAATTGCCTATATTTAATTGTGCTATTACTTGTAATTTGTTCATTTGTTCTTATTTACTGGCTGTCACTTGTCTTTAATAATGTTTAAACTTTACAGTGGTAACCAAGGAAACGCTGTATCACTGTACCGTACCATAAGCGCCACCTGCTTTCAGAGAGTGAATCTGCGTCTCATTCAGCCCACCTGCTGTTTATATGTGATTTTTTTTCAATTTCTGTACCTGAACATCTACAAACATAAAAACCTAAAGCATTTAATTTCTATTTTTGTGCTATAATAATTGATAATTGCCTATATTTAATTGTGCTATTACTTGTAATTTGTTCATTTGTTCTTATTTACTGGCTGTCACTTGTCTTTAATAATGTTTAAACTTTATATTTATGTTTATTTTTGGCTAGTGATTTTTGCTG